GAGCATCTGTGTCGTTCTCATTCAATATCTGGGCTCTGGAGACATTCTTACCCAATTCTTATCTTTTTCTCGCTTTTCCGTTTAACTTTTTTTGCTGTAATTTTTATTCTTTTTGTTTGATTGATTTCGGTTTTCTGAGTGATAAGTTTTTTTTTGCGATCGTGAATTTGTGGACATTCGTCTGCGTGTTTAACTAAGTTACCTGCAGTTTGTCAATGTGATTGCTGGGGATATTTATGTCCTGAATTCCTTAGACAATAAATCTCACTGTAACAATAATATGTAATTATCTACACATCATTGGCAAACTGACTAGGATTAGTTCCGTTGAGTGACTTGACTAACATCTATCGGACATTACGTGATACCTGGAACTGTACCGAAATAACACAAAACGAGCTCAAATAAATCACATGGTTTATACTAACTCGTGACAAAGATTTTGGATTCGCATTATCGTCAACTAACATATTTTAAAATCACTGACAGTTTGGAGTTTAATAGATACTTATTTGAACTACTTATTAGTTATATTAGTGTTCTTAAAAATATTCAACTTTATAAAATTTACTAGGCTCAGTTACAGTGGAAGATATGGGCATCCCCCCAAATGCCCTGGTATGGTCGAGAGTGGGGTGGGCTCACCCTCCCTCTCAAAATGCTCTCACACGGCCACGCGTATATAGCCTCTGCCAGGGAAGTCCTACTCACGGCCTTCTCGTGGTGGGGGTGTTGTTTACGAAAATGAGAGGACGAAAAGCGAATGTCCGGTGCTTTAACCGGATTTCAGGCCAATGGTGCACATGGGCTCCAGTATCCTGCGGGAACAAATGACGTGTGAATCAATCGTTGGTCATTGGCTACCATGGGACTGCATCTCCTTACGATGCTCCACTGCCTTGTGGGTTAGACCTTTAGGTCAAAGGCTCGGGTTTGGTCCCCTAAGATAACCACATGCTTCGGTCTGGGCACCCGGGCAGTATCACAGCCCACACACAATTGTGATGGACTGTCTATATTTATTGAAAGTACTCTTCTTGCTGTGATTAACAATCAAAAATGGTTCACATTATAAATATTATTATTATTATTTACTACGTCATTTATTCACTCTCTTTTATTCCCACTCTGTGTATCCTTATTTTTCGGGTTATACAGTAGCTCGCCTATGGTGGAAATTCGGCTCTGTCTAACGTTCTCGAGACACTGCCTGATTGAAAATTGTATGCTACCACCAAACACAAGTACTGAAGCAGTTTTTTCTGAAAACACGTGGACTATTTGAACTGGCTGTCTTCAACGTCCACACACTAATACAGGTCGGACAACAGATGGGGCTGGCTATGTATTTGGAAAGTCTTAATATCGACGTGTTGTCTATCCGAGACCCGTATTCAAGACTGTGGCGAAGTACTACAAATTCGATCTCCATCTGTCGCTTCGAAAAGCTTGTTTTACGTGCGCTTATCCGGGGACCCTGTGGCATCTTCGTCTGGTCTTGCTGGCGTTGGTGTCGCACTAAGCGCTAGAGCTGAGGCAGCACTAGTCGATTGGATCCCCATTAACAGTCGGTTATGTGCTGTTAGATTAGAAAGTTCCATCAAAGTGAGAAGAAATCGGCGTGAGAAACGATGTCTTTTCGTCATCTCCGCCTATGCCCCGACAGATTGCAGCCCGGATGCAATCAAGGATGAGTTTTACCACCAGTTATCTGTTCTTCTCCAGAAAGTGCGTTCGACAGATATTGTAGTACTAGCCGGAGACTTGAATGCTCAGGTCGGGCGTCTAGGCACAGAAGAGAGTCGTTTAGGTGGCCGATGGGGACTCGTTGGTCGCAGGTCAGATAACGGGGACCGTCTACTGCAACTTTGCACAGACCACAACCTGTTTCTGGCTAGCACTAACTTTCGGCACAGTCATCGCCGATGTGCCACCTGGCGTCCTCCCTCTGCATCTCAAGCCTGGACTCAGATTGATCACATCGCGATCAGCTACCGCTGGCGTGGTTGTGTACAAGACTGCCGCTCCTTTTGGAGTACCTATCTGGACTCTGACCATGCCTTGGTCTGCGCCAATCTTACCTTACTTTTCAGTGGACAACGAAGTGACCGCCATCAACGGATTGATGTTAGCAAGCTGGTTGCAACTTCTGTTGCAAGTAAGTATCGAACCGAGCTAGCCTCTAGGCTAGCTACCACTCCACCGAAAAGTATAGATGAGCATTGGTTGCAATTGCATGACGCCATGAAAATGGCGGGAACAGTCAGTTGTGGGTTTGCGAAACGTCCCGCTTATAAGCACTGGGTTTCTGCAGGTTCCTTACAACTCATTGAAGCCCGTCGGTCTACTCCGGGTGACCGTGAGTTTGACCATAAACGAAGGATGTTACGTAAGGAAATTGGGCAAAGCTTGCGTAAGGACCGAGAAGCCTGGTGGTCGGAGCGTGCTAATGAGCTGGAAGCAGCAGCTGCATCTGGTAACTACCGGAAGCTCTTCCAACTCATCCGAGCCACTGGCAGCAAGAAGTCTGGTGTGAGTGAAACAATCTGCGAGGATGATGGGATGCCAATCACTAACATCCATCGACGTCTTGGACGATGGGCAGAATTTTTCGAAGGGCAGTTCAACTGGCCTGCTGCTCCGGCAACATCGGTCAGACTGTCCTGCCCTCCATGGCCGGTGACGACTGATCCACCAAATGAGGCGGAAGTCCGCAAGGAACTCCAACTCTTGAAGCGTTACAAATCACCTGGCCCAGATGACTTACCTCCGGCTCTTTTTAAAGATGGTGGTGACTTTTTGACTAAGGAATTGACGACGTTGTTTACAAAGGTTTGGGAACTAGAGAGTGTACCAACGTCATGGAATGAGTCGATAGTTGTCCCTATCTTTAAAAAGGGTTCACGTCGTCTCTGTAACAACTATCGGGGGATAAGTCTACTTTCGATTGCTTTCGTCATAAATTGTTAAAAACCCAGAAAAGATTGACTTGCGAGGAGCAGGCTGGGTTTCGTTCTGGTCGAAGATATACTGATCATGTCTGCACCCTCCGCCAAATATTAGGACACCATCATACTTATTACAGGCCAACATTTGTAGTGTTTCGTGACACTAGGGCCACCTTCGATTCGTTGGACAGGGATGTTCCCTAGGATTGTTTATTGAAGAAGGGTGTGCCTGAGAAGTTTATTAACATCTAAAAGCTCTATGTACAAACACTCCAGGCAGATTGAAGGCGTACAACCACTTTTCTCTACTGTTCAACTCAATCAATAGGGTAAGAGAGGTTTGCTTAGTTTCACCATTCCTCTTCAACTTTGCCATCGATGACGTTCTGGAAACAGCTCTGATGGATGTAAGTAACGGCGGTGTAGGTCTGCTGCCTGGAGAAAGACTTCTGGACCTTGAGTACGCGGTTGGTATTGTCTTACTGTGCGATAATGCCCAAGGCATGCAATCCGCACTTAATCAGTTGGCAATCAGTGTCCGTAGGTATGGTATGTGCTTTTCACCTTCGAAGTGCAAAGTACTTTTACAAGACTGGCAGGATTATAATTCTGTACTCACTCTGGATGGTGAGCAGATAGAAGTAGTCGAGAGTTTCGTGTATCTAGGTAGCTGTATAAGTGCTGATGGTGGCGTGAATGATGAGATCAATTCATGTATGGTGAAAGTCAGAGTGGCTTATGCCAATCTGGGCCATCTTTGGCGCCTTCATGATGTTAGTCTGGCTGTAAAAGGTCGAATCTACAACGCGTCGGTGAGAGCAGTTTTGCTCTATGCTTGTGAAACCTGGTCTCTCCGAGTTGAGAATGTTAGACGACTCTGTGTTCGATCATCGTTGTCTCCGAAGGATTGCTGACATCCAGTGGCAACACCATGTCAGTAGTGCAGAGGTTCGGCATCGTGTGTTCGGGCACAGAGACGATAATGCAATTGGTGTCACCATCTTGAAACACCGACTTCGGTGGCTTGGACATGTTCTACGAATGTCGTCCCAGAGAATTCCACGTCGTGCATTATTTGCCGACTCTGGAACTGGTTGGAAGAAGCGCAGAGGTGGTCAGTGCATGACATGGTGTCGTGGCATGAAAGAAAGCTGCAAAGGGCTGGCTTGTGTTGGTCCTTCACGACTTCCTGGCTGGGGTCCTAGAGATGGTGCGATACAGTGGCTAGAGACGTTATCAGATATGGCTCGGACTAGAAGCCAGTGGCGATCCTGCTGTAACCTTCTTTTACTTTCTTCATAAAAAGTGGTTGTGTCTTCCTTAACCGAAAGATTTCTTCTGACTGTACCTTTTCGTTTCCCCGATTATTATTATTACTACACTACCTCAACTAATCTGTACGTTATTGTTTTTTTTACGCTCCTTACTTTTTTTCCTTCTTTTCTTCAAATTCTCATTGTTTTGTGTGGCGCATATGCATTTGGTGCCCTCTTGTACCAATATTTATGTGTTCAAAATAAAAAAATAAAAAACAGGAACTTTCACGATTAGTTATAAATAAAGAATCAAGTAGAATAAGTGGGCAATGAATTTTTTTACCGCATAACAATTACAATAACCTTTACACTTTAGTATTTTGACAGAAATGTATAAGTAAAAAATTAAGGAAAAAAGCGTTGCGGTTGTTATTATTATTCAGCAGCACAAATATGTGAAATTTTTATTAAGAAGTTAAGCACGTGATTTAACATTAACATTCAATCATATGAACGATTAATCAAGGTTATACCTTAGTATTGTTGTTACTTAGATCAGCTGTAATACGATGAGTTGAGAATAAGCTTAAGAAACAATTAAACGAGAAAAAAAGCAGTTGTGAAAAAAAAGCATTTCATTGGTAAACAAATATTGACATGCTGAGTTGCATAGTTAAGACTCAATCAAGTTTGTGATTATTAATATTAGAATTTAAAAAATTGTCCCCCATCAAATAGTCAAAGTTTCAATAGATTGATAGATATGTTTCAGTATTCTTCTTCATAAATAATTAATTTAATCAAGAATCATTCTTTGTTTGCCCATTGTCATGCCAGCTTGTGAAGCACCTTTATTTGTACCATATTGTAGACTAATCACATTCGCGCCTTCACGTAACTGTTCGTCAGTGAATTCACGTTTATTCTCTTGAGCTAATTTTGGACCTAAAGTAGGGCCATTGTATTCCGGATGTGTTTGACACTGAAAAAGTTTTTTTGAGAAGATTAAGGTCATTTTAATTAGGGTAATGGGCTGTGAAAAATGACCATTAAAAACGTTTATCAATTAATTAAATATTAACAGTGGAATGTGGGAACATCCCAAATTGAATGAAACATGAACTCTGGATCCCACTGTTAACCACAATGTATCCATTCCAAAAACTTGTGGAAATATGACTTCATAGAGGCAACCCACTCAGGATCCACAAATGACAATAAAGACTGATCAATAGCAGATTTAGATTTTGACAAACCATCATTAGTAACGGAATGATAATTCAGTTTAAAATGGGTTGAATTCTCCCATTGTTGATATTTTTCACGGAAATTTGATCAGTCTGTTAGCCGCGTTCCATCTAATACAGTGGCTTTTGAAATGAATGGTAGTGCGTTGGAGCCATGGAATGAACATCAACTCTGGGATCCAGGTACATCCAGCTAACAAGTTTTGAATAGGATGAAACGAGTGTCCTGGATTAAACTACTAATCATATTCCATTTATTTGATATCAGCTTGAATTATAATTGTTTGATAATCTTCAGTACTTAGGAAAACATTTATGATATATATAACAGAAAAATATTCTTTCCAATAAACTTTTATGAAATTCTACAGATGTGAGTTGGTCAATCATTTGTAAAAACAATAGGCTAGATAAAGATATGTCTTGACTCAGGCTGTCAAACTGTATCAGTGCGGAGGAGTGAAAATAACAAATTGAATATCAGGGAAGTAGAATCAAAAGTACCGTACGTTATAGTGAAAATATTTGCTATGTAGAATATATTTAGAGATAATGTAATGAAATCTATGAACACAAAAATATGAATTATTATTGAAATCTGCAATTTGGGGTGAGATAAAGAATGAATGGATCTTCATCACCTTTTAATTGATTTAGTGATACGTCAACTAAACTCTCAAACTGTAGATAACAGTTATCGTATGGAATCTAATTGGGTAGACTGCTTCTCTTTATACTGTCCAAACTAATAGTAAATGACTTCATAAATAATGCTGTCTTGGCTTCGTAGCTTCTAGCTTTCTCAGGATAGTTTGTCAGCGAAAACGGTGGCTGAGGATTGCGTAATTGTTAAAATGACTATTAAGTGGTTTATGTTTGGATAAGGTTTCAAATCCAATAAAACTGTGTGGTTAATAATAAGAATAAATATCAGTAAAATATAGTGAACAAAATTTGAGATATCCTATGCGAATCGCATAATCTATGAAATGATATGAAGTGAAAGTTAGTGAACATAGAATTTGTTGAAGAAAATTTAAATAAAGTACTTATTTAATTTTATCAATTTATAAAATGACATACATAAATATTAAAAATTTAAACGTATGAATGATTTTGTTGATAAATTTGCGTGGTTTAAGGAAAAATAACCTTTAAAGTGAAGTAATTTATTTCTCATGAAGAGATTTATGCATTCAGATACACTTTGTGTGCATGCAATCGTCAATGATACTAGTTAACTGACTAAACGAAAGCTTAGAATTTAGTAGGTTACAACCAAGATTTTGACTGTTTAAATCATTAAACTACATCACACCAAAAAATTATTAGAAAGTTTTCTAAGAAAGATGATTTCCTAGTCACTCAACATATGTTTTAGTATACAAGATTATAGAGATTGATGAATTTCGTAGTTTTACACTATGGTCCCATTTAATTTAAATAGTTATTGGAAGTCAGTAAGCAGTGAAATTGCTTTGTCCTAGTTTTAAATATCGCATCAATATTTATCCTTGAACATACTAGCGATCAAACTCAGGACTTCAAGATCTCGTAATGAGCAATTAAACTTCAAACAACAATTAACACCCAATCAGTTCATGATATCTATCATAAAAAATAAACAAATATAGCTTACTGTTCTTCCAAGAGCATAAATACATTGTGTCACTTGAGCAATATCTTTTTTCTCAAATAAATCGACTGTTTGAAAAACATCAGCAGTAGGCACCCCGTATGCCTTAATTGCTTCTTGAAATGCATTAATATTTTCCATAATTTTAAATGGCATAGTAGCGTTCTCATTGATTCTCTTAACACTACCAGGTTTTAGTTTATTGATAACTCTAATAAAATATGGTAGAAAATACACGAACTATGGATTAAATTATTCTATGTACAAAAAACTTACAGTATTTGAATCTTATGCAAAAAGTTATCAAGTAGGCAGATCAGAAAGATGATGATCTTCGATAAATTCAGTTGATAAGATCCTATACAGATAAAGACTCAATTTGATATTGACATCTTTTAGATTAGTTTAGGTAACGTTAGGTTTCCAATACTTGTGCTTTCCAATTGCGAGAATGAATTAGCTAATGGAATACATTTACTGATAATCCAGTAAATACTTTATGTAAAGCATGAAAGAGCAGATTTTCTAACTGTCAACCTGTTTATCATTGATAAAACTGAAAAATCGTTAAGCAATACATCCATATCACAATTTGTAAAAGATTTTATTTACTGAGTATTGTTATTCGAGATTGAATCTGATCAGTTTTTACTGGCATACGGACTTTTTAAATGGATGTTAGGACTTTTCACATAGTTGTGACAGAAGAGACTGATTAAATGTGTTCATGAATATTAGCAATATGAAATGCGAATTGGTGTAGAACTTTGTGGAAATTATTTGATTTTATAGTGAACATCATGGAATGATATTATTTAGACATTCTTTAAAAACCAAGAAGCAATAAACTGGTGTTTCACTCCATTATGTGAATCCCTAAGAAATATGCAACCACAACCTTATGCAGGGTCAAACCGAGGACCTTTGAGTCTCGTGATGATCACCTAACCTCTTGACTACCGAGCGGCATCTAATCATTTTAATAAGACTTCAGTCAGTATTTGGAACTAATCAGAATGAATGATGATTGATGAGGGGCCTCACAATATTACGAAACAGCTGTCCAGTGATTCTTAGTCTTTAGTTGTTTTCTTATAAATATCAGTCTGTGATGTAAATTGTCAAAAACAGTAATAAACACTGAAAGTTAAAGATATTTCATAATTTTCAAATAAGTGTGACTATTATGACTCAATGTTGAAGTAAATAATCCGTTGACCTATAGGGTTGTGGGTAATTGATCTGAGACTAAGTGTAAACAAAAACATTATGATACAGTCACACCTCAGTTATTGAGTTCGGAGTAGTACGAAACACTCATTGCTGATTTCAGAGTGAGCTTTCATCCGAAATGTAACTGCGTTGTATAACTTCTACATACTCATAAAAATAATTTTACTTGTCAAGAAAAGTGATTTTAGTACAGGAACTATTGTGCAACAAAAATATGTTTTAGTATAGATCGGTTAAGATATTTTCATTTAATGATCTTAAAATTTGCTCTAATACAATCTTTTTACTTTTCTGAAGATAAGTCGATACATATCATAACTTTAATATTCATATTTTATCATCAGAAAGGCTTGAATTGTCGCGTTGCTGATATCTAGGACTGAATTTTAGTCAGGCTTCGAACAGAAATATATGCATACCAAGTAGATTGTCTAGATAAAGCAGTTAAGTCATAAGTTTTTAGAATGGGTGAATTTTGACTGACAGTAGAATTCAAGGTCCATGTTTCGTCGTGTTTGAAAATCACCAGCCGAAATTGAGTGCAAAATATCAACAATGGGATACTGAAAAGTCCTTTCTGTGATTCGATTATAAATCCCACCCGTTGAACAAGCTAGTATCTGTTAGCTATGTCCACAACTAACCAATCAAATTGTTGTTTAAACGCCCACCACGTTGATCTGGTCTGATGTGTCTGTAAACCATCTCTGTTGCATGTGACCTACCAATTAAAAGACATTATCATCCTATTATGTTAGTGTGACTCAGTTTTATTCATTTCGATAAGACACGCAATACTGGTGGAAACAGATAAAGTTTGAAGCCAAGTTGTCCTTGTTCTGACTATAGCTTTCACATAGACACTGTGCTCGCCAGTATCGCGTTTACGGTTCTAGTAGTATATCTGTAGGACAAATTAAATCCTACAGTATCTATCTGAACTCAGTAGCTCAGTGGTTGCTAGAGTTAGGATATTTCTTACACGAATCAAAATATCAAGCAGTTCGAAGCTTCGCATAATAAGTGACTTACTTGCAAAGTAGCACTCCATCTTTCAGTACCTCTTCATATGGTTTAGAACGGTCCACCTTGGTGCCAAGTACGGCCTCTATCCAATCAAGTACACTTTGTTCTTGATCTCTGTCTCGTTTTCCTTCAAGCTAAACAAAATAAACAATCCCATGGAATAATTGAACAAGATAACACCACAAGAATAATATTTTGGTGTCGGGGAAGAGATTAAATGGAGTTTTCTATTAGCTCAATTGATTTAAATAAATAAGACACTTAATGTTTATCAGTCTAATTGAAGGAAGATAAATGTTCTTTTTTTTAAGTGACCACGGGTTACATTAACGAATTTACATTTACTCTCACAAGCAAGTATGTGAAAATAACTGAGGTAAAGGAATCTCCAAGGTTTTTTGACCACATTCCTTGAAATCAGTTTATAAAAGAGAGAAAAAGTTTCAAGTACGATGGTCAGTTACTCAGTGGATAATGAATACGAAGTGAATAACTCGAAACTTTTGGAAATAATCAACAGACAACGAACCTCGCATTTAGTGCGTTTTGCAAACATCTTTGTCGTCAGGCATTTTTGACCTAATCAATATACATAGAGATAATCGCAATAAGCTTAAGTGTGTTGAGATAAATTAATTTTAATGAGGAAAGTTCTTCTATTGCATAATCTGTTATTTTATTGAACTCCTGACTTTCACTTATTCAGTTAACTTTATTTTTAGTTATGTTGTCCTAGTAATGACTTATTTTGTTACCGATATTGATGCTCATAAATGAAGTCAGATAAATAGACATCAAATTGTAGTAATTTGTATCCAATGTGGTAGTTTTTAGTTTAAATCATGGACAAACTTTATCTAGACACCCATTGAAAGACAATTTGGACTGGACGTATGTTGCTTCTCAGTGTAGGACTTCTCAAAAGTGCAAAGATAGAATCTAGGAATTTTCGATGTCACAGTAAGCCTACAACAGAGGAATCACATCTGTGATAAAGCATGTGTTTAACACCGCTTTCGGTGTTTCTCAGTGTTTTTCTAAAAAAACATTAGCAAATGCTGTAAATTACCTCCTAATTAAGTAATGAATTTCATAATTGAACTTTTTGTTCTGAATAACTAGTGTAAGACTCACCAAAGAGTCGAGTTGAGTGAATTACTAAACATCTACTCAATACCTCATATTATATCAGGTATTGTAATTTATCAACTAATCTATCAGTCATAAACAAGGTATTGAACAACTCTGTATTGATCCAAGACAATACACATAAGATTAGGATAGCCAGAGAATGAGTTAGTGAAATAAAAAAATAAACTGAATGAGATAACAGTAACGATGCTATCAAAAGTCTATGTGTGCATGATGTGATTTCTAAGAAACAAGTAAAACTGGTCAGTGAAAATTCTAGAGTGACATTAAACTCAAAACTTAGAGCAATATAACAAATTAATTTTGAATTGTATTATCCAAAATATTCAAGTATATAGATTACGATAATCTAACTAACGCTCATGGGGGAATCTGTCTTTTGATATTGTTTAGTTCAACAATCAAGTATTGGGAATCAATACACAGAGTAAACAGTTTGTGATCGAAATCTTTTCAAAAGATCATTGAAAACAATTTTTTTTAAAATTATATATACTACTGGATAGAGTAATTAATTAAACTATTTGATCCTGTATTTTTTTTTGTCCAATTTCCCCTAAAAAAACTTTGATGGTTCGTTTGTTTGTTTTTTGTTACAGAATGAAATTTCGAAACAAAATGATATTTAATGAATTTAAGGTCATGTAAGTTAGATGAGTTCAATGTGAACTAGTTAAATAACGCAGAGAATAAAGATGAATGCTTTTATTTTTAAAATAATGAAATTGAATACAGATATAAATTTAAACATTTTGAAACTGAAAAAAAAACAGATCCAACGTGTTTGAATACTCAGTTAGTTAGTTAGTTAATGATCATTATGGAATTTGTGATTGATTATTTATATAATATTCATAGACAGGGAAATTAATTTAACAAGTATATTTTGCCATTGTTATTCACCTCTATTTTGATTAACATTAGTTCAATTATCTTCTTTTCATTTTGTGAGACTAAAAATTAAACATTAATTGTGTTAAATATTTAAAAAGGGAAAACCGAAAGTTGTTCATTTTTATCATAATGATACAGTGTTCATTTTACTGTATTTTTGTATAAATCAAGAAATTTACAATAAAAGTTTACTCTTGGAAAGTCTGTTAAAAATGAACCTAAGCTTCATGTTAGTTGGTATTGGTTAGAAAGGTGTACCTGCAATATTGATTAAACTGATAGTCACTGAATGATTCGAAACTGCGTGATTGAAAGAAGACTAGACAAACTGGATATTGGTGATTACTCAGTAATCTGTCATTTGTAGGTATTTAAACCTTATTGGAGGTCGGTCGTAGCCTGAATGGTTCAGTGGTGATGTATGAGACTTTGAAGTTGGGTGATTTCCATTTGTATCCCACATAACAGAGCATCAGTTCCCCTAAGATTGTTGTTATTTTTTGCGGACGAGTACCAAATAGTATGAAACATGATCCCAGATTTTACTGACGACTAACTCAAAAGAATTAAACAAATCTCTCAAAATTATTATTCAAACTAATTTAGATTAGACAGTTAGTGATAATGAATTAAACAGTTGTACGGTTATTATTTTAATATATCAAACACAGAAATGCCATCCGTCTAATATTAGAAAGAGTGTTATAGCTTATGTTGTTAGTTTAAAATAGTCACTTCATACCATTTGTCAACACGGTAATTTCAGTAATAAACATCTTATCAGATGTATTAGATACGCTTTATTATTCCATGAAATCCCCGAATGTTACTCTGAAACATGCAGAGAGATTTAGCCTTCCTAAATGAAGACCACGTGTTCACAGTGATAAATTGTTAGTCGCGGGTGGATTCTTCAAGGGTGTCCCAAGATATGTAGTAATGCTATTCAGGCCAAAATTAGTATTTATTATTCATGATTCTTAGGTCGACTTTTAACAGATAGTAGAAAATTGATTTTAGCTTGGTTTTATCATTGTAAAGCTTTCAGTGTATTATAACTAATCATCTCAACTCTAAGCTAAATTTAATGAAGTAGGTGAACCGTATAAACGATGGAACGAATAAAACTAAATTAAAAAATGTTACTATTGAAAAACAAGTTTTCAAAGAAACATGAAATGTTTGATATTGTTTTCACCATAGTTTGTGACTAAGGAGCAGTCGATGCTTTACAAGTGACCAAGTTCAGAATACCTGTATCTTTATGCGATCATAATGAAATTGAGTTATTGAGATGAGAATCAATAATTCATATTTGGTTCACAACTTTAATCAATTATATATATACTATGGTGATTACATCACACCAGATCTTGATTGACTCAACAGGTTATTTCAGCTTGTTTAATGAAAGCTATTTTATTCTTTCTAGTATACTCTCATCATAAGGAACTTTGTTTGTCATATGTTTTCTGATAGACAAAGATTTAATCACTCATCAGGTTTATTAGTCAGTAAGTTTAATATTTAAATAAAATACTTTACTATAATTCAAATAATTGGTTCATTTTTTAAGATTATTGAATCATAGATTGGTTTCGTTATAAAAATAATTGAATTTTGACGAAAAGCTCAAAATATCGAAATCATTCATTAATTGTATTGAAGTTAAAAGGATGGGGTTATCCGAAAATTTTCCAATGTTCAATAGATGTGAGGTATCCAGATCTTTGGTGGGTGAGCCCTAGATATCAGGAGGCAATTTCACCAAAGAGTTCATCTCAAGCCTTTGGAATTATGCACATTTGTTTGCCGTGCACATGTCAGTGTGAGGAAGCCCGGATGATAAACTTATATATGATGGCAGCTAAGGATGGAAACATAATCTCTAATTATAATTACACTCTGCTGCGCAGCACTCAATAAATGACTGAAGAAAATATATGAAAGTACTGGAAATACATCTACTAAGCATTGAAAATATCGCTAATAACATCCGTCAATTTAAATTTTTCGATCGAATTTCACACTTAGTTTTTATTTAATACTGAAATCTAGGATATTTCCATTCTTTTTTTATTCTAACGTGGTAGACTACAGAATAAATACCTGCGTTTTAACTGAATCAAAGTATTTATTTGTCAAGATTTAAGTTCATTTTTTCTGATTAAACGATGAAATCATAAAAAAAGTTACTTCACGTATCATACTAAAAGTAAATCTCACATATTAAAATGCCTTTATTTTAACTATATCTACATAATTGGATAACGCGTTGGGCACTCAAGACAAAAGATAATAGGTTCCAGTTTTGGTAATTATCTTAGGACGGCGAAATTAACGAGATGGGAAAGAAAAGAGCTAAATCAGTAGATAACTGAATAAATATAACAAATTTACATCGAAAAACAACTTGAATGGGTAATCAAAAGCGTAGTGTTATGTTGGATCTTAAAATTCAGGGGAATAAAAAATGATGGATGCATTTATTCCATTGTGATTGATTTTTAGCGATTTTTAATCACTAATTATCACTGTCGTCCAGTTCAATAATTATTGGAATGGAATAACTCAGTCGTGATTTAGCCACCTTCAACTTTCTCAGACAATCAAAATTTACAAAATGATTGACCGTATTTTTAAATTTACTGATTACCCTACATCTAATCTCAACATTACACAATTGTGATATTACGAACTAACAGTGCAATCTACATAGTATTCAAGTTCATTAATGAATAAAATATAATTTCAATAATTGAGATCATGAGTCAATTGAAGCTAGACCACCATGGAAAACCTATTGTGGGAAACGGCCGTCCGGTGCTTCCAGGTTTTCCATGGTGGTCTAGCTTCAATTGACTCATGATTTCAACTATTGAAATTACTATAATATCCACAAAAAAACCTTCTGATAAAATATAATTATTAATTTAGTTAACATAAACAGTACATTTAAATTATTTATGTTACATGTTTGGTAAACCATGTACACAAATTAGTAAAAGCTTGAAGTATTGAATTTTAATACTGTTTTATTATTATGAAATTATTTGTAAAGCTAATATTGAGTAAACTTAATTAAATGTCATTATTTTTGAAGATAATTATTGATAATTATTAATCTGAAAAACACTGCATAGATGGTTCAACGAATTTATCTGAGTATAAGAGGTGTATAGGAAAGTGATAATAATGCTGAAAATTCTACAACTTCATGAACGCACACACGTAGACGTATACACATACTATGTCCTTAATTTTTCTCAGTTAGTTAAGTGCAGTTTAGCTTCAATAATATCAAAATCATTGTAAATTTCACATACAACTATGGTCACATAAAACAGTCTAAACGTTTCCTCTTTTTATTAAAATTAGTTTTTTGTATGTAATGCCTAGAAGTTATATATTGACAAATAAAAATAAAATATTTTCGATTGTTTGTTAATAAAGTAAGTTGAAAGTAATTGAAAAATAAGACGAAGCACTTCCACTTCAGGTTGTACTTTCTGTATGATGGACGATTCAAAATACATGTTGTAAGAAGGATTTTACTCGAATTTCATACTTTACATAACAGGATGATTATAGTTAGACAACCATTGAAAATCAGGACACGTTAAACAGGTATTTGACACCAGTATAGGACTTCTCAGTAGTGGGGAGTGTCCTCAGGTTAGTCAGGTCTTGCAGTGAGCGTTTGAACTACACTAAGTCAGCATCCAGTAATTCACAGTTTCAACCTTGAATAATGCTTGCTATTTTCGAGTAAATTCGCCTTAGCTTTTATCAAAGTATACTAGATTGGACAAATACATAAAAATCTATATCTTAAAATCAAAATTACCTTTCTTTTGACTTGAGCACTAAGTCCACTAGCTAAAGGTTGATTGGCCATAAATCCGCGGGACTTAAAACAACTTTCGTTTTTCTGCTAGTAAAAGAAAGAAAGTGATTTTAATTTGTGGCAGACTTGGTATCTGACTTTCTTTTAAATTCACCATAATAATTTAACCAATGTAATTAATTGAATTCGACTTGAACCAATCAAATTCACATTAGAGCACATTTATAATCGTGTGTGACAGTCACGAATTGAACCATTTGAAATTGTTTAAAAATAGGGGATTCTTTATTATAAGAGAATTTTTCAATCAGATATGACATGAAATAGATCAAGGTCATTTGTAGAATTTATATTTGTGTGGGCATCAACACTAGTCAAGGATACACACATTTTCTTTGGACATATATACATGTATATATGGTAAAATTTAACTAAGAATTTGACTACTACATCTATCGTATGTATATGTGTTATATTCGATCTGCCCATTAACACAACACATTAAAATGATAGAAATATGAAGGAGAGTATTAGGATATTATCGGTTAATATTGATTTTCACTACAATTTTCATGTGTAAACAGATTGCATTTTCAGATAATTTTGCATAATCCTTATTTGGATATGTGAAAATACAATCTTTGGAGTTACTAATCCGTTTAATGTCACTTATACAAACTCGAAAAGAATTATATATATAATACAATTCTCATCAGTCAATCGATGGATAGCCAATGATTTTAAGGGCAATAAAAACTTTTAGATGGCAATTTTAACTGTGACATATGTGCTAGCTGTTAAGCTATATGTATATAAATCTCTGTGTGCATTATGCAATGAATGGCTCTTTTTGTTTACCAGATTTCATATATAATCGTTAAAAATATTGGATCAAGTTAGAAACCGTAAGTCTAATCTTCTCATAGAAAGTCAATCTTCATAGTTCAAATAACCACCGACATAAACTAGACAACCATTAAGAACCAAGAAACACAGAACAGCTGTTTCGTCCCAGTCTGGGGCTCCTCAGTAGTGCATGCTCACTACCTCAAGACGAAATCGATCCCTGGACATTTGGACTCACTTAACCTTGAGATCACTGAGTCTGAATTCAATGCTTTACATGTTAATGTTACAATAGTTAAATAATAATATGGAGAAAAATATCGAAATTATGTAATAATGTAAATCGTATATGTGAAAATCACTTTGTTTGTTTGCACCACCATTTTTTGTTTACCATAAATATACAATAATTTACACTAACAGTACAGTTCATTTTCAGAAAACAAACACTATATTAGAGTCATTTTCTGTTTTGTTTAATTTAAGTTAACGGGAACTTTTTCTAAACACAGAAAGCATCAGTTTCAAGGGTTCACTGAAACTATTTGCAAAGTTTAAATAAGCACTCAATTCAGAAGTCTTCAATTCATTTAATAAATTTGATTAATATGATGAAATAGTTAATTTCGTAAAGTGCCAGAATAACTGTATTGATCAGAATAACATTTATCTTCAGTGACCGTCTAAGTATTATAAAATACAGAACATTAAAGTAAGGATTCTGTGAAGATTGATGAAGTTTATAGTTTATATCACACAACGACATTAGTCTGACTACACATAACTCAAGTACAATGGTTTTCAGCCGACTAACTTCAATCGGAATCAAAGTAATTACGTTTTGTTAGTTTCGCAGTCTTAAATTGAAATGTCACAGTTATATGGATCAACACATTCAGTCCAACTATTGAATATATGTCAATTTTAGTAATTGTCAGTTTCTACTTTCGATGTTATTTTTAGAGTCAATCAAATCACAGTTGGATTCAACCTCACTTTTTTCTCTCTTGAAAGTAAACACTTGATTTAGTCTTATACAGATTCAGTTATTAAATGACATAAGAAAAATTAACATCAGAAAGAGTTACAATTTTGATTATTTTTAGTTTTTATCAAATATCATTATTTTGACAACAGTTTAGTTTAGATTTGTTCTGAGTTTTTAAAAATGTGTAGAATAGTATATACCATTGTTGATTATTTCAGGATAACATATTTATGTTCTGTGTTTTATAATCATACAGTTTCATAGTCATTCATCAATAATAAGACATATTTTATCTTAAATAAATCATTTTTAGGAAGAAATAAACAATGATCTTAAAAACTAGGAAAATGGTAGAAAAAACTGTGCTTCAGAAAGTGTCTCTAGTATCTGATCGTTGTATCACGGAACTCAATGATGGAAAATTACAGGCACTTCACTAATATGTTGAACAATTTAGTGGTTATAGGAACTTATTAACTTAGTAGTAAGTTGTTAGATATTTGAATAAAAACACGCTACGTCTAAAACAGCGTGAATATTAACATTGAAATTCAGGTATCTCATCCAAATAACAAGTTCTAAATAAGACGAAATGAGTCTTGGTTCGTAGTGTTAGTCACATGACGAAAATTCTAATATTAATATTACTTTATTCAGTATCCCAGGATCGATTAAAAATATATGTTCTGTCTACAGAAGATTTGAGAACAGTTATTGAAATAGAACAAATATCTGTTAGAAAATGGTGTGATACGGAAAATATAAAACTTGGGGAACTAGGCTTTCAATATTCTATATGTGTTCAAACCATCATCACTTGAAATCGAGTTCAGGGGCTTTCATCTTAATATGGTTGAACAGTTAGGTAATATATGAGTTAACTGTATACAAATAGGACGACACTGGTGAAGTCAATATTTTTACAATAATGTTAACGATATTTTGCAACACAATGAATATGATTTTGATGTCATCCTAACAAATCACTTCAAAACAACAGTTTATACGTATCAAGGATGAATGTAAGTACATGCAAATAGGTGATATATGATATATATATATACCGGCTTTGAAACCATGTTAAGAGAGGACGCAAATACTACCTTTGGAACAAAGACAATTTTCTCATAGTTGGTCCAGTAAATAACAATAATTATTGTTTTAAGATGAACTGATCACGTAAAATGAGTACGATTCATTTCAACAAAGCAGTACTTTGAACTTACTAAACGTACTTCTTTCACTGTAGCTGACCATCTGAAACATTTATCCGCATTATTCTTTGAAAGGTACCGAACGCCTAATAACGTTTTGGAACGACAAATTTTTTCTGATTGTTTCATAATTAAAGGTGCGTTAACTCAACTAAGAAAGTAAGATATTTTTCCGGTTAGAATTTTTAAAATATCGGGCATCTGGATAACTTCTTGTAAATTTCATCATCTGAAATATTACTTTTGTGAAAACATTTGATCGACGTAACGTCTACCTAACAAATAACTATCTCATTGGTTTTGATATTACTTATTTGATGAGATGAACTAGTTATAGTATCCTTCACGTACAACTGTTCGTGGTAATAAGAATGCTGAGTAGCTATGGAAAACTTTATTGGAAAATTTATAAACTCTGCTGCATTCATTATTTGAGTTTAGTTGATCAACGAAATACTGGTTTTAGAGGCTTGTGGTACCATTGGAAACAAAGAAGTGATGATTATCTGTCTCGTATTGGTGTGGGATACATCGACAGCGCACATCGGCTAACCCACCCGGATATCAAACTTAGGAATGTTCAGTGTCACTGCAAGCACTTAACCATTTGAACAACTGAGTTGGTATTTAACAGTTAACAATTCTAATTCTAGTCTATTCGCATTACTGTGTGACAAACAATCAACACCACTCGTGACGACTTTTCACTTCCGACAAATCTGATCTCCAGCAGTTATGACTTTCCATTCGAACG